CCCACGTGGCACAGCCCCTTGCCTCAGGAGCACATGCTCCGGCTACTTCCCCGTATCCTGTTCCTACCCCAGTTCACCACAACTCCACATGGCACAGCCCCCTGCCTCGGGAGCATAAGCTCCAGTTACTTCCTAATATCTTGTCCCTGCCCCATCTTGCCACAACCCCCACGTGGCACGTAGCCAACATCAGACAATCCCTCACAGGTAACATTCAGTCAGTGAGTGTGTGTGCGTGTGTGCGTGTGCGTGTGTGTGTGTCCCTTTGGAAAGTAAACTGAGAACTCAGGGTTGGAAATTCCAGACAGTGTTGTCAGACTATTGCTTCCCCCCTTAGTGGGCCATGGAAGTGAATACTCAGGTCCACTGGGTGGCCTCAGTTAAAGAGATTTCTATTCCTTGATTTTGCATGTCTTGCCATTTTTACTAGAAGTGTTTTTAATCATTAATAAGAAATTAAATGTAAAAGAGCATGTGGGAATGTGGATAATTCACCTCAAATTAAACAGATTTTCAATATCTAAAGGGATGATTGAGCATTAAAGAGGCTATTTAATCACATTTATTTGATTTCCCAAAGAATTTCAATCCATTCAAGAGAGTAAAGCCTTCCTGACAAGGAAAAGAAGACTGTGAGAAATAACTTTTAGAGAAGAAAATGAACTGAATTATTCTCTAGCCACTTCTACCCACCTCTATCCCTTAGCTCTGACCTTCAGAAGGAAGAAAATAGAGTAAGGAATATGGAGAAAGAGGGAGAAGAGAAAGAAGTGATTTCATGACTTCTGGCAAAGACGGTACAACTCTAACTTCAGAAATGCCACAACAAAGATGTAGAAAGGTACTAAACGAAACACTGATTTCCAAAAGAGAGAATGGGAAACACCAGTGAGCTCTCCTGTCTAGGACTGCACAGGAAGTTAGCCTGAAGGCTGTGGGCATTTTCTGGTTGGGGACATGCAAGATACTTCCAGACAACATAGTTGTTTACAGTTCCCATATACCTGCTTCAGGAAAAAAAAAAAAAAAACTGCATAAAACTGAATAATCATCAAGAAAACCAAAGAGAAGTGACAGAATCCTAATAAAGGTGCCCCCAGTCCCAATATTCTAACTTCCTTATGGGCCTCACTAAACAACAAGCATGTCCAGATTTCACCATACCACAGCCTCCCAGACTCAATCACAGGCCTCAGTGAACAGCAGGCCCACTGTCCCTAGTTAGCCACTGCCCCCAGATTCAATATACCCACTGCCCTCCCCCCAACTCAATATTCTAACTTCCTCATATATGCCTCACTGCTCACTAGAACAACAGGTGTGTCCATGAACTCATATTTCTCACTAGAACAGTAGGTGTGTCAATGTGATGGGATCCCAGCCACTGCCTTTAGCTAGCCACTGGCCCCAGACCCATTCTTCATATTTCCCACAGAAACAACAAGTAGGTCCATGCACTCAACCGCAACCACATCCATCTCAACTCAGACAGGACCATAACAGTCAGCCGATCAGAAAGCAGGACCACCAGGATGCCCAAGCAGGAAGTGGACCCCAAAACAATAGAAGAGACTTTCCCTAAGTAGGCACCTGCACAGTAATAGCAAAAGCTGTCCTTTAGGTTTATTATAAGTAGAGAGGTTTATTATAACATTACTATCATTTAAGCTCCCCCAAACGGGTTTTTCTATATGCATTGTAGGTAATCACGTGAGTAATACTCCTGAGGTTGGGACCCCATCCCATTACCTAATCCCTTAACAAACCCCTCCCTATCACCTACCAGTGGTGGGGAACATGTGGCCTTCTAGGTCCTTGGGTGTGGCCTTTTGATTGAGTCCAAGTTTTACAGAAGAAATCCTTTTATTAAGGGGATTTGTTCAGTGAAGTTTTGATTCAGTCAAAGGGCTGCACTTGAGGACCTAGAGGGCCACATGTGTCCTCGAGGCTATAGGTTCCCACCCCTGATTCCTTAACAAACCCCCTCCTGCCTTTTTAATATTCATAATTTCTGTTGTGTAATCAGCATCATTACACTATAAAACTGCCTGCCTCATCTTACTAAGTTGCTCGTTCCTCTTGCAACTCAGTTCATTGGAGGCATCATTCCCAATAAATGCCTATACTTGGATTAGAGGTGGTCTGACTCCGAATTCTTTGTGGTAGCAACCCTCACAACAAACCATGAAACCACAACAGAAGTACAAGTAATTTTTCCCTCTCCAGAACTACACAGAAGTCCACCCAGCAGCCCCTGAGCAGTAAGAATGGAGATCAACAGCAAATCCAGTACTAGATCAAACAAACAATATGGCAGCCTCTCAGCATGACCAGATATGGATTAGAGGTACTTGTTGTCTATAAGGCTCTATGTACTGAATCAGCAAGAGTAAAGGGATCCACTGAGAAAGTACCACAGTAGCTGGAAACCCACATTAGGGACCTTCAAAGTGACTAAGGATGTGTAGCTGCCATACCAGGATACCCCAGACCCAGGGGCTCCAACGTCCCCACAATTCTAGTCTTAAATGCAATACATCCACGAAGATCTAGTACTCTAAACTTCAAAGATCCAAAGGGGATCTAACCCCTGGAATTGAAGGTCAGCAAAGGAACCCAAGTGACTCAGGTCAAGACCAAGCAGGGTCAACCATCCCACTCACAATTGCAGGAGGGAAATAGAGCCTGGCCAGGGCACAAAGCTCCAATTCAGTAACTGAGGCCAGAGAGCTAATTAAAAAGAAGACAGTGACTACCATAAATAATTATTGGAGATCCTGATATCCTGAAAATTCCAAACTAGTAAGAGAGAATAACTTCATGATAACTGCAAACAGAGATTGAAAGAAAAAAAAAAATTGATTTTCCACAAGGACAACATGAATACCTACAAGAAATGAAGCAAGAAATAGAATAACTTAGAACAGAAAGTGATAAATCTTTTTTAAAAATAGTTTTTGACTGATATCTTTATTTTTACATTGCCTAGATATCTCCTTTTATCCTTCTCCCAGAAAGTACTATCTAATAACAATTTTTTAAAAGAAAAGAGGAAAAAGGGGGAAAATTAATTAAAATTGTCTGACACATTGGAAAAAATCTGTTATTATTGCAACGTTCCAAATTCATAGACCCCAAGCTCTTTAAAGGAGCAAGGGTTATGTCATTTTCTATCTCATCTTTGGGGCCACACTTGTACTTTACACTTCACAACATTCAGTTTTGTTCAGATTCGTTCCATTTATAATGCTATAATCATTGGATATATTGTTTTTCTGGCCCTGCTTAGAAAGTGGCAGGCCTTACTCAAGTAATGAACTCCCTGAAAACTAGAAATCAATGATTCCATAAGACAGCAAGAGATATAAGAACAAAATCAAAAGATTCTTTTTTTAAATCAAAGAAAGTGTAAGGTATTTGGTATAGAAAACAACTGACCTTGAAATCAGCTCGAGGAGAGATAATTTAAGAATTACTAGACTCCCTAAAAATCATAATTTTAAAAAGATCTGGAGTTACATTTCAAAATGAATCCTACCAGATCTATTAGAAACAGAAAGCAAAATAAAGATAGAACCTACTGATTGCCTCTTGAAAAGAACCCCAAAAAGAATAAGCCCCAGGAATGTCACAGCTAAAATCCAGAGCTTGTATGTTGAAGAAAAAATACTGTAAGCATCCAGAAAGGAATTAAAATGCCAAGGAACCACAGTCAGGATCATACAAAACCTGGCAGCTTATACATAAGCTAAAGGGAAATTTTGGAAGGGATATTCCAAAAGGCAAAAGATATAGGCTTACAACAACAGGAGAAAAAAACCAGTTTCTAGTAAGTCACTGCCTACAGGAGACATATATGGTCAGCCAGAAGATCTGAAGTAAATGTGATCTCTAATATCCTACTGGGGCCTGCTGCAACAAGAAACAACATCAACCTCCAGGTGATGACTGACTGAAAGGAGAAGGAAACAAGGCCATGCTTGCGCTAATCCATAAGGAGATAGAGGCAGACATCAGAGAGGGAGGCAAAGAGTGGACCCTAGTTTTAGCTCTGGATTCAGTTCACTATCCCATTTTTCAGACATAACATCCTGAATTATGGCAAGGCATTGGCAATGGCATCTAGACTTCAACCAATCCAAGAGTGAGAGAGAGTGGAGCCTGGCCCTAGCACAAAGTTCCAGTCCAGGAGAGATGGAAACATGAGTATATGGAAGACAACTCATAGAATCTGTGATTGAGGGAACTTGGTGGCCTTCAGTACAACTAGAACACAAAAGGAATCTCCACTATAAAATACCTGACAAGTGGTCACCCAGCCTCTGCTTAAAGACCTCCACAGCAGGGGAACTGATCACCTTTTAATGCAGCCCATTCAACTTTTGTACAGTTTTGGTTGATAGTTTTTCCTGCCATACAGTAGGTGGTTAATAAATGTTTATTGACTGAGTGACTGTGGTCCTAACAGGCCTCAACTAGATGTTACAGAGTGAGTTGTTGCAGGTATTCTGCAAGGACCCCACTGCTGGGGTTGTCATGTTGCTGTACTGGCCTAGCACCTAGCACAACACTTTACATAGTTACATGTTTTTAAAAACAAAAAACAAAATACTCTGTTGAATAAAAAATAAACTTGGATACTTTAAAACAAAGTTTTTAAAAAATAAAATTTTGCTTCTTTACAACAAGCTTTTATACGCTTACTTAACAACTTACATGAGAAAAAACTTAAAGGTTGCAGAGGTTTGTGTCAAAATGTGTTCCATCTTTCATTTGCTTGGTCAAGATGACCTTCATCTTTACTTGAAAAATCAGCCCCTCTATGAAAAAATTTTGTCTTTCCTTAAGTCTTTATGGCACGCTTGTAAGTCTAATGGATAATGAACTATGTACACACAATTTAATTTGCTTAGCAACTCCATTTCTCCTAAAATTGTATACAAATACACAGAAAAGCATAAGTTACATAAGCTAAAAGAATGTATGTACAAAGGCCTTACTAGGGTCAACGTCGTTAGCCAATATCCTCAATGCCCCACTCATTTTAGCAGCAATGGCTGTTGCTCCACATCCACTCCCAAGATCTAGTAGAGATCTTCCCCTGACAATGTCAGGATTATCCAAGAGGTACCTACATAAAAAAGACAAACAACTTAAAGGTGAGTTGTGAAGGTAGAATGGTCATGAGGCAGAAGAAAGAACTGAACAAGGAGATCAAAGAATTTGGCAAGATACAGAATGATCTGGCCTTGGAAGGCTGGAGTTCACTAGGATCAAGCTATTAAACCTTGCCCAGCTGGCCGGGAAAGAAATGGAGCTAAGACGGGAGTGAAGGGTTCTTTACTGGTCTGACTGGAGATTCAGCTAGTTCTGCTGAAAAGTCTTTTGTTGCTGTTGAAAGTAATGAGTGAAATTTATTATATACTTTGTCATTTTTTAAAAAAAATTTGAACACCAAATTCTTTCCCTCCCACCAGCCCCTCCCCCACCCACTAAGAAGGAAAACAACGTGATATCAGTTACATATGAGAAATCATGCAAAACATTTCCATATAGGCCATGTTGCCAAAAAAAGAAAACAACTAAGAAAAATAAGGACAGTAACAAAGTTATATTTCAACGTGCACTGAGCTCAACAATTCTCTCCAGAGGTTGACAGCATTTTTCATTGTGCATCCTTTGGAATTATCTTGGATCATTGTATTGAACAGAGTAACTAAGTCTTTCACAGTTGATCATCATTACAATATTGCTATTACTGTGTAAAATGATCTCCTGGTTTTGGTCACTTCTGTTGTTACTATTTAGTTATTTCAATCACGTCTGAATCACTGGGATCCCATTTGGGTTTTCTTGGCAAAGATACTGGAGTAGTTGGCCATTTCCTTCTGCAGCTAAGAAGCTGCTCACTTTACTCTGCATCAATTCATATAGGTCTTCCCAAGTTTTTCTGAAGTCATCCCCTTGTCATTTCTTACAGCATAATAGTACTTCATCATAATCATATACCACAACTTGTTCAACCACTCCCCTAATTAATGGGCATCCTCTCCATTGCTAATTCTTTGCCGCCACAAAGAGCTGCAAATAGGTCCTTTTCCTTTTTCTTTGGTCTCTTTGGGATATAAACTTAGTAGTGGTACTGCTGAGTTAAAAAAAAAATGCAGTTTTATAGCTCTTTGGCCATATTTCCAAATTGTTCTCCAGAATTGTTGACTACTTCACAATTCCACCAACACTGCATTAGTTCCCACATCTTCTCCAACATTTATCATTTTGTTTTATCATGTTAGCCAATCTGATAGGTGGGATGTGGTACCTCAGAGTTGTTTTGATTTGCATTTCTCTAATCTATAGTGATTTAGAACATTTTTACAAGACTATAGATAGCTTGGATTTCTTCATCTGAAAACTGCCAGTTCATATCATCGTGGGAATGGTTCTTACTTTTATAAATTTTGACTCAGTCCTCTATATATTTGAAAAATTAGACCTTTTCAAAGAAAACTTGCTGTAAAAAAATTTTATAGTTTTAATTTAGTAACTTGTTAATTAAAATGTCTTTTCTCTAATTAAAAATTAGGTCTATTTTTGCTTTATCTGAAATTATGATTGCTACTTCAGCTGAAGGACAACAGATTCTGCTCCAGTCCCTTATTTTAACTGTTTGTGTCTGTTTCAAATATGTCTCTTGTAAAGAATATATTATTAGATTCCAATTTCTAATCCATTCTACCTACTTCCATTTTATGGGCGAATTCATTCAATATAATTGTGATTATTGTGTATTTCCTTCCAACTTATTCTGTTTCCTTCTCTTTTTTTTACCATCTCTCCTCAAGGCTTGCCTCTGACCACTGCCTCCCTTAATCGGTCCTCTCTTTTATCACTCTCTCCCACATCATTCACTTATCCCCTTCTTTTCCTACTTCCTTGTTGAGCTGGATAGATTTCTGTATCTAACTCTGTGTGTGTGTGCATTTGTATTCTTCCTTCTTTGAACCAATTCTAATGAGAGTGGTGTTCAAGCATTGCCTGTCATGCCCCCCACCCCAATTTTCTCCACCACTGCAAAAGCTCTTCTTTGCATGCCCCTTTTATGTAAGGTAATTTCCTCTATTCTCCCTCTCCCTTCCACATTCTCCCAGTGCATCCCCTTTTCACCTATACACATTTTCTGAGATTATCCCAACATAACCGGCTCACCCCCTCTAACTATGTAGACTCCTTCTAACTGCCCTAATACTGATAATATTCTTAGGAGTTTTATGTATCATCTTCCCATAGAGGAATAGAAACAGTTTATCTTTATTAAGTCTTCTATCATTTCTCATTCATAGTTACTTTTTCTATTTCTTTTTAATCTTGGTTTGGATGTCAAATTTTCTATTCAGCTCTTATCTTGTCATCAGGAATATTTGAAAGTCCTTTATTTCATTAAATATTTATTTTTCCCCTGAAGGACTATACTCAGTTTTTCTGGATACATTATTCATGATTGTAGTCCCAGCTCCTTTGCCTTCCACATCACATTCCAAGCCCTCCACTCCTCTAAAATGGAAGGTGATAAATTTTGTGTGATCCTGACTGTGGTTCCATGATTTTGGGGGGGGGGGAGTGAGGCAATTGGGGTTAAGTTACTTGCCCAGGGTCACACAGCTAGTAAGTGTCAAGTGTCTGAGGCCGGATTTGAACTCAGGTCCTCCTGACTCCAAGGCTGGAGCTTTATATACTGTGCCACCTAGCTGCCCCAGTTCCATGACATTTGAACTGTTTTTTCCTGGTTGCTTGCAATATTTTCTCCTTGACTTGGGAGTTCTGGAATTTGGCTACAATATTGCTGGGAGTTTGCATTTTGGGGTCTCCTTCGGGAGATAATCAGTGGATTCTTTCAATTTCTATTTTGCCTTCTGGATCTAAAATAGCAGGGCAGTTTCCTTTATAATTTCTTTAAATGTGATGTCTAGGTTCTTTTTATGATTATGGCTTTCAGTTAGTCCAATAATTCTTATTTTTCCTAGATCTATTTTTCAGGTCAGTTGTTTTTTCTGATATTTCACATTTTCTTCCTTTTCCTTTCATTTTCCCTTTATTATTTCTTGATGATTCATGGAGTCATCAGCTTCTAATTGTCCTTTCTGATTTTTAAGGATTTATTTTCTTCAGTGAACTACCGTTTTTTTTTCCATTTGGCCAAGTCTGATTTTTAAGGAGTTCTTTTTTTCAGTGAATTTGTGTGCCTCTTTTACCATTTACCTAATTCTGTTTTTTTAAGGCATTATTTTCTTCAGTATTATTTGGTGCCTCTTTTACCATGCTATTAATTCTCTTTTTCATAATCTTCTTGCATCACTCTCATTTCTTTCCCCAATTTTTCCTCTACTATTCTTATCTCTTTAACTCCTTCAAGAACTCTCACTGGGATTGTGCTCAATTAGCATTTTTTTCTTTGAGGCTTTGCTTGTGGCTGTTTTCATGTTGTCTTCTTCTGAGTTTGTTTCTTGGTCTTTACTACCACCATAGTAGCTTTTTATGGTCAAGTTCTTTTTGTTGTTGTTTGCTCATTTTTCTAACCTATTCCTGGACTTTGAAATTTACATTAAAGCTAGGTTCTGCTCACTTAGAGGTGAAGAGACATTGTCCCAAACTTCAAGCTTTTCTCAGTGCTGTTTTCAGGGCTAGTTCAGGGGTCTCCAAGTGCTTCCAAGGTGGCCTTATTTGGGGAGTGGTGTGGACACTGCTCTCCTGGTCTGTGCTCTGGTCTTTACCCAGGAATGGCACTTGTTCCCATGTAGCTACAAGTGACAGTACGCCTTTCTGCCCTTATAATGTGACCAGGTTCTCTATTCTCCTACAGCCTCGAGAACTAATGCTCCTCTGCCCTGGAACTGTGACCAGGGCCTATGCTCCCTTATGACTAACCATAAGCACTTCTCTCCACCCTGGAACTGTGACCCAGAACTTTGTATGGGCAATGGATTGCCAAACAGTGTCAGGTTCTGTGCCCAGAGTTACCTCAGGTCCCTTGTAATCTCTTCCTGACCAGTTGTCCAACCCCCTTACCATCTCCAGGTTGAAAGCTCCCAAAGCTACTGCTCCTGCTACTCCTGTAGCAGCTACCTTCAAGGTCTACGACCAGTGTCACTGCTGCATGCACTGCAGGTTAGCCCCCAACCTGGTGTCCCAGACTTCTCCCACAGACTGTCTAAGTTGTCTTGGGCTGGAAATATGTCTCACCCTAACCTTTTTTTGTTATGCTGCTCCAGAACTCAATTTGACATTTTATTTTAAAGTTGTTTTGGAAGGGAATGTTGGGAGAAGTCAGCTGGATGGCTGCCTCTATTCTGCCATCTTGGCTCCACCTCTGCTGGAATTTTGAAGGAAACTAGGTATTTTATTGCACAGACTCAAGCATGAGTCTGTTAATACATTGTGTCCATTTAGATATAAAATGTGCTACCTTCTTTGATTTTTTTAATTTTATAGATAAGTTCTGTTACAATGACCAAAGAATCAGGGTAGAACCACAGTTAAGTTGATGAGAATAGGATATTACATACACTGAACAAATAATTGGCTTTAATGGAAACCAATTAAAATGCTGAAATTTTTGGAATCATGTTGTAATGATAGCTGATGTTTCTATAACACTTCAAAATCTGCAAAGCACTCTCCATACTTTATCTTATTTGAGCCTAATAAGAACAAACCCTAAAGAACTTAACATAGATATTATTGCCCCCATTTTACTGAGGAAACTGAGGCTCAGCAAAGTTAGGTGATTTGTCCATAGTCAAGCAGACCTAGAGCAGAGGCAGATGTTGAGCCCAGTTCTTCCTCACTCCAGGTCTAGCATTCTATCCACTGTAACAGATTGCCTCACATGTGAAAGAACAGGATTTATAGTGACATAACTAAAAAATGTCAACATTTGGGTCAATAACCTGGGTTCAATTCTAACAGATTACAAAAATACTGTATTTGTATTTACTTGCTTCAATACTTTAAGAGTCAATGGTATTGGGACTCGGTGTGTAAAGTCAGAATTAGAGATACTGTATTTCACCACATAATTGTTGCCACTGCATAGTTGCATGCTGTTTTTGTTTTGTTTTGTTTTCATTACAAAAA